TATACTAAATAAATAATTTAATAATATAGATTATAATATAATATTACTAATAAGGTATAAAGATATAAGAGGTACTACTAAAGTTAATAAAAGATAGAAATATAATATTATATAAAACTTTTTAAACTACTATAATATTATAATAACTTATCCCTTAAAGAGATATAAGATTTCTTATTTAAAGCTTTTAAGATCTAAATTAGTTATTCTATAATTAGTTAATAGTTAAATATATCTAGCTAGATAAATAAGAAGTTTATAATTATTACTACTTAGTAAAGTAATAAACTATAATATAAGTACCTATACTATATATAATAATATTACCCTAATTAGCTAGTATTTATTAATAAATCTAATATTAATAAGGATATTAAGATATAGAGGACTAAATAGGTATTAAAAAGGCTTATTATATTTTAAACTATAGAGATTAATTAGTTTTAAAACTCTTATATATAAATCCTACTAACCTTTATATTAAGTAGTATCCTATACTTAATTATATATTATAGTATAACTAATAGTAATAAGTTCTTTTATTAGCTATAAGAGTACTTTATCCTAAAATATAGGCGTTTTTTAGAATTAAACTCTATTATTATTATAGATAACTTCTCTTACTATTATATACCTAAAGTTAAGGATTTATACTAAGTATTAAGTATTAATCTTAAGTTTCTACCTCTATATTTACTAAACTTTAACTTTATTAAGGAGTATTTTAGTAATCTAAAGTAATATATTAAGAAGATATATTTAAAGTGGAATAATAATAAGAATAATACCTAAGATTTTATAAAATATCTATATAACTACACTATAAAGATTAAGTATTATCTACTTTAGATTAAAGGCTATTTCTACTATTTATTTATTAACTTTAATAGGATAAAATATATATTTAATAATATTAAACTATAAAAGGGAGGATAAGCTATAAATATTAAATATTAATAAGTAATCTAAATCTTTATTATATAATTATAATAGATCTTAATTATATTATTATATAGTAGGAAATTATTAGATCTATAATTATAGCTAGTAAGATTATAAAAAGTTTAGCTATAAGCGTATAAGAACATAGAAAATATATTATTATCTATTATTTTTATTAGTAGCTATATATATATATTAATTTTGCCTATATANTATAGTAGCTAAAATATATTATTAATACCTATAGTAATAATTTATAATAATAATATATCACTATAGTTAGAGATTTTAACTATAGTTAGAGACTTCTATTATATTAAACTAAAAAGTATTAAAATAGATTATCTTATTTATAGATCTAAAATTATAGTAATTCTATAACTTTTATATATATATAGTAGTAGTATTAAATCTATAGCTATAAGTAGACTTTTCTATAGTTAAATATATTATATAAGAAAATCGTATATATAGTTAAACTTCATACTACTCTTACTATATTACTCTTCTTCCTTATTCTCCTCTAAGTAATATATCTCTATTAATAATATATTACTTAAGATTTTAATCTAATTATCTTTAATACTTTACTTAGCTTTATTTTATTTAATCTATAACTATATAGGTAGTATCTATAATACTAATAGTAGTAGTAATAAAATAAAACTAAAGAGTTCTAAAATACTTATAAAGTTAGCTATATTTAATAGTAAATAGCTNAAAATACTTATAAAATTAGCTATATTTAATAATAAATAGCTCTATATATACTTACTATATTAACTAATTTTAATTAGTATACTATAAATCTCTTATTTAATAGATTAATATAATATTAAGGTATTAATATATTAAGATAACCCTAACTTACTTAAAACTAATATTATAGAGTTTTTAAGTAATATTACTATTATCCCTCTTAGTAATCTAATATATATTTTTATATAAATATCTCCCTCTAATTTTTAATAGTTTAAATAAAGTTTAGAGTAAGATATAATATTAGAGATAGTATTAAACTACCCTCTATAGTAAGTACTATTATCTATAAAAGATTTAATTAAGTTTCTAATATCTTTAGTAAGATCTTAAGTAAAACCTTATTTAGTAAACTAAATATCTAATAACTTATAAACTACCTATAAGCTACTATCTACTAATTATAGTTTCTATAACTTTTTTCTAAACTTTTTATTAATATTATATTACTTATTATAGATAGATATTATAAAGGTATTTAGGGGCTATAAGCTATAGTTAGGTTAAACTAATAGAAGAAGTACCTAAAAAGTAAATATAGTATTATTACACTACTTTTACTTACTTCTTTTAAGATCTTCTTTTCTAACTCTTTAGTAAGTACTTACTAAGTCCTTACTATAGAGGGTTTTATACCCTATCTCTATAAAGTTCTCTATCCTTTTAACTTAATTTAACTAAACTATCCCTAAACCCTTTTAGTCTAAGTAACTAAACCTTTATAATTATCCCCTTTTTAATTATAGTAGTTCCTACTATAAAATAAGATTAATAGTAAATAAGAACTTCTATTATTTATAGTAAATATTTTATAGTTACTATTATTATTATAGGTTATCTCTATTATCTATATAGTAGTTATTTACTATATATTTACTAAGACTTTTTTATTTTTTAGTATTATTATTATTTCTATAGGTCTTATAATCCTATTTTTAGAGTTATATTATCTACTAAATAGGATTTTATTAGAAGTTTCTCTTATTTTTTAAAGAAAGAAATTATCTTTAGTAGGTTTTATATTCTTTATTTATAGATATTTTATTCTTTATTTAGTAAACCCTTTCTAAATAATAACTTTATAATAACTTTATTTTTTTATTCTATTTATCCTCTTTCTAAAATAGGTATATTATAAAACTATTTAGAATATTAAATAGTAATTACTATTATTAATTTACTATACTTACTTTCTTACCTTTAATAATACTTATTATAGTAAATAACTATTATTCTTTCTATCTAAAGTTATAGCTACCTCTCTAACTATTTAATAATACCTTATATTTATCTATAAAGTAATACCTTTTTTCCTACCTAAGGTTAGTTTTTTTTTCTTTCTCTTTATTATATTATATTATAATAACTTTTATATTTTATAAAGTTTTATTAAGTTTTTATAAAACTTTCCCCTTCTAATATTACTTTTATATTTAATTATTATAAGTATTAAGACCTTAATTACCTATATTTTAGTATTATATAAGCTTAATAACTTAGTAAAGAATAATAATACCTATTAGTATAACTAATTAAGTAGTAATAAACTTTATATCTCTTATACTTTATAGCTTTATTAAACTAT